TCCAAATTGGAGTGATTCTGTGATTTTATTACAGTGTCCTGTTGGGTACCCAACTCTACTACTTTCTTTGATAAAGTATTAAGAGCTTTGGTGTTTTTAGCAATCTCCTTTGTAAATTCCTGTACAATTGAGCTCTTTAAATCTTTCAATAGGTCAATCATTACTTCTTTCATATTGGCTATCGTAAGATGTTCCTCCCTCTGACTCTCCACCTCTCCTGGCTCATCTACTATTGATGACTCAGCTGATGTCATTAGGCTTTTTGAATGTTCTAAATCTTTTTGCATTCCTGATGTTAAAACTAACTACTCAGAGTTTTTACGTTTATTGATTGAAGAAAATGCATTCTGATTGGAGAAAAAAGATTCCTTGTCGGATTTCCATTTTCCTTCTCCCTCTCTTTACCTTTCCCTTTACCCCTTGTGCTTTGATTATGCTTATTTTTCATTTTGTTCCCTCTTTTACCAGTGGTTATAAAGTACTAAGAGGAGAAGGTCAAAAAATCCCAATTTCAAACACTATAAATCAGATATATACACTAGTAGTTGGAAAAAAAAAAAAAAAAAGAGGAGGGGAGAACCCTGGTTAAGCTGTATTACAACCGGCTTCTACCAAATTCTGTCACAGGTCCCTTGTTATATATGTATACTAGATCTTCAATTCTCTGTAGGAGCCTGGATAAATATGAGAGCCTAAAGCTGAGTTGTCCCTTCGATCAGTTCTTATATTCCAATTATACCTTAAACCTTAATCCGTTTATTTCATAGGCCACCAGAAGATAGACCCAACCTTAAAATATATATATATATATATATATTTTCCAGCTTTTGCCACCTTCAGTCACAAGGCCCTTATAATGTATATATACTGATCACACAGATGTCTGAGTTCTCTATAGGGAGCCTGGGTGCATATCCAAATGTAAGACAAAATTGGCCCTTTAATTCGTTCTTATATTCGATTTGTACTTTAAGCCTTAAACCACTTTTATTTCGTAAGCCATCAAAAAAGTGGGTCATGTTTAAAGAATTCCAGAAAGCAAATCTTTCACGTATAAACACTGAGTGCCAAAGGAAAATAAAATAAAATAAAAAGTGCTCCAATGATGTCCCAATTTAATAGCCAAAAAGACACACTCATTTGTTTCTTTTATACCAGCCTTTAGATTCAGGGTATAAAATAACCCACATAGCAGATTATCCCCTCTGGCAATATTTAGGCGATATTTGAGCTCGCTGAGCTTTCACTAGCAGCAACACTAAGGAATCATTTCAGAACCACCTGTCCAAAAGACAGATAGGAAATTAAAAACAAATATGTATATAATATATTGAAACTGTCTCACCCACGTTTCCTTCCGTAGGTTACTGTGGTCAGTGGACGTCAGGAATGCAAGGCAGAGCAGCGATGCTTAGGCAATAATGAGCCTTATGAGATGTTAATTCTTAGCTGGATATTGGGAGGGATGAGTTGGGGATAGATGGGGGTATTCTCCCCTCTCTTCTGCTCTCTTTCCTCTTGCTTTATCTTACCCCCTCTCTCTTCTCCACTTTCAATGCCGTGCTTTACTTTATCTGTATTTTCCCACCAGCTGTTTTATTCTCATTTGCTCCTTTGCTCTCTTTAGCTCAAACCACTTTTTTTTTTTTCCTCTGGACCTTCACTTTAATTCTTTTTGAGCCTGCTTCCTCTTCGCACTTTTAGCCTCTAATCTTCTCTTTTTTCCAATTCTACTAGCGGCGGCATCAGAGAACACTTCCACCGAGTCTCTCACTTCACCAGCGGCGTTTAATCAAAGAAGCCTCGTGTTGCACCATCAGACCGCATCTCATGCTCGACCGACCTCTGCCATCGCCCGCTAGCGTCTTGCGCTAACTACATCCGGGGCGTGGCCACATCTTCCCGCGTCAAGTTTTGAGCCCCTGAAGAGGTGGAAAAAATCCTTGACTCCAGGATCTTCCGCAACAAGCTTCAATATTTGGTTCATTGGAAAGGCTATGGTGAGGAGGATAGATCGTGGGAACCAGTGGACAGTATTCACACTCCTGATCTTCTTTGGTCTTTCTACACACAGCACCCTGCTAAACCAGGAAATAGGGCATCCAGAGGTTGCGCCTGTAGAGGTGGGGGTAATGTGAGGAACTGACTCTGCTGGGTTTCGAATCCTGGTTTACATGCTGCTAAACCTCTTCCTTACCAGTACACCAGCCTGCCTTTTGCAAATTTACCTGAGATCTGATAACCTTGACTCTACAAGCAATGATATCAGTGACAACTCTCTTCAGCTGTCTGGTTCTTGGCCTATATAAGCCACTTCCTGTCTCTGTACCTTTGGCAGATTATTGTGGTTCCTGTAATCTCTAATCAAGCTTGTTCCTGTTTCACCTACCTGTTGCTGAATTTGGACCGTTTTGACTTTGCTGCTTCTCCTTCCCGCTGACCTCGGCTTGCCTCACTACGATTCTCATCTTTCTGTTCCAGTCTCTCATCTCTGCTTAAGACCAGACAGCCACTCAAGGCTCAGGGGCTCAACCACCTGGGTAACGAGTGGCTACCTCTGGCAGAAAACATTGCTGATCTGGCTACTGGACTCCAAAACTTTGTAACATCAATATCATTACACCCACACTACATACAGATATACACACTACACAGATACACATACAGATAAACACTACACATACACAGATACACACACCACACACATACAAACACACAGATACCCACACTACATATAGATACACACAGTACACATACACACATACAAACACACACCAAATACAGATACACACACATTACACACATACAGATACACACAAACACACATTAGAAAATGTACTGGCTGTGGCTGGTTGAGGCCTGCTCTCCCTATCTGACCCCATGCTTGCAGCTTCCTCCTCCTCCTCCCGCGCGGCTGTGTGAGTGAGCTGGGAGGAAGTGATATGCTGTCACTTCCTCCCAGCTCTCTGTGCAGGATAGAAGGGACTTGGTCGCGCTGTTAAAGCGCCACAGCGCACGACCGGGCCCCTCATTGCATATGTCCATCAGGTGGCCCTAAGGGCATAGGTCACCCGAGGGACCCTCACACAGGTTCCCAACCCATGCGGTTCCCAACCCTTGGGAAATCCTGTTTTAGATTATGACAGGGGCGGTCAGAGTGCCGCATGGAGCCGCCCTGGATACAGCCATAATCAGCTGCCACTGCTCTTACTGGATACAGCCGTAATCAGCTGCCACTGCTCTAACAGGATACAGCTATAATTAGCTGCCACTGCTTTTACTAGACACAGCCGTAATTATCTGCTACTGCTCTTACTGAATGCAGCCTTAATCAGCTGCCACTGCTCTTACTGGATATAGCCATAGTCAGCTATCACTGCTCTTACTCTAACTGGATACAGCCATAATCAGCTGCCACTGTTCTTACTGGATACAGTCATAATCAGCTGCCACTGTTCTTATTGAATACAGCTGTAATCAACTGTGACTGCTCTTACTGGATACAGCCACAATAAGCTGCCACTGGATACAACCACAGTCCAATCTAACTGGAAACACTGTTGTCTCTGGATAAAGCAAAATGTTGCAGATTACTTTCATTTTCAGTTCCATTGCAGGAGATTATGCACAATAAAATCATGTTTTTTCTGCTAAACAACTTCCCTAGTCGATTGCCGAGTCAACTTTGTTTTTGCTGGAGTCTAGTCTTCCATTTCCTGCTCAGTAGAAAACTCAAGCTGCATCCAAGTGGTCGAGTAGCCTACGTATCACGAACATAGGCGTGCGTACGGGGTGTGCCGGGTGTGCCTGGGCACACCCTAATCCCCGTGGCACGCCTATGGTTTGAGTCCTGCAGGAACAGCGTTCCTGCACTTTTTTTTGTGCAGGAATGCTGTTCCTGCAGGCACTCAGCACCCCCTGTCTCACCTCTTGCCCCTGTCATGGGGAGGGCAAGAGGTGATGGATACCCCGCTCTCTGCATCTCAGCCGCGGCGAGGGAGCTGTGTGCTCTCTGCTGCCTCTCGCCGCGCGCTGATGCCGGGAGCCGGAATATGACGTCATATTCCGGCTCCCAGCTACAGCAGACAGCTGTGTGTTAGTGTGTGTCTGAGTGTGTGTGTCTGTGAGTGTATGTGTGTCTGTGTGTGAGTGTGTCTGTGAATGTGTGTGTGTATGTGTGAATGTGTGTGTGTCTGTGAGTGTATGTGTGTGAGTGTGTGTCTGTGAATGTGTGTGTGTCTGTGAGTGTGTGTCTGTGAATGTGTGTCTGTGAGTGTGTGTGTCTGTGAGTGTATTTGTGTGAATGTGTGTGTGTCTGTGAATGTGTGTGTGTCTGTGAGTGTATGTGTGTGTCTGAATGTGTCTGTGTACGCTCTAAGCCACCATGGGCCAGCGGGGAGACCAAAGATCTACTTCACCGGCCCACAGCAGCATGGAGGGAGGCAGGAGAGGACCCAGGGAGCTCTAGACAAAAGCTCCACCAGGTTCCTCTCGCGATATCTGAGCGTTGCTGTGGCAACGCTCAGGTCTCGCTAGAGTTAACTCTAGCCCCGCAGGCTAGAGTTCACTCTCCACTGGACCACCAGGGATGGCATATGGCAGCAAGGATTTGCTAATCTGCCCCCACCTCCACAATCCCTCCAAACATACAGCACCTACACACATACAGCTCACACACACACAGTACACTAACCGCACCCTCATAAACACACACAGCACCTTTAAAAAAAATACAACACCCTCACACACAGCACACAAACAGCACCCTCACAAACACACACACACAAACAGCACCCTCACAAATACACGACATTCACACAAACAGCACCCTCACAGGACAAACACACACACACAAACACCCTCACACACAAACAGCACAGTCACAAACACACACACACAAACACCCTCACATCACACTAACAGCACCCTCACACACACATCACACTAAAAGCACACAGCACCCTCACACAGCACACTAACAGCACACACAGCAGTGTATGTGTGTGTGTGTGTGTGTGTGTATATATATATATATATATATAAATATATATATATACACACACACACACACACATGCAGCGTGTGTTTGTGCTTTAGGGTGCACACCCTAATGCAATAGGCTGTGCACGCCTATGATCACGAATCAGAGGCAGCTGGGAATGACGTTTCTGCCCTTAGTCTTTGAAGTTGTAACATGTATTCATGGGACAATTGATAAAAAAAATAAATCTAGCTGCTTAAAGTGGAATACCAACATGACATAGTTTCATTAGAGTGCAGAGAAGTTTATCTTCTGCACAATCTGAGCAACAGCATAGAGGGTAGGTTTTAGATGCAGCGAGAGCTTCAATTTCAACAAAATGTCTTTCACAAAAAGCTGTTGTGGATATCATGGTTAGGACACTATAGTCACCTGACGAACTTTAGCTTAATGAAGCAGTTTTGGTGTATAGAACATGCCCCTGCAGCCTCACTGCTCAATCCTCTGCCATTTAGGAGTTAAATCCCTTTTTTTATGAACCCTAGTCACACCTCCCTGCATGTGACTTTCACAGCCTTCCATAAACACTTCCTGTAAAGAGAGCCCTATTTAGGCTTTCTTTATTGCAAGTTGTTTAATTAAGATTTTCTTATCCCCTGCTATGTTAATAGCTTGCTAGACCCTGCAAGAGCCTCCTGTATGTGATTAAAGTTCAATTTGGAGATTGAGATACAATTATTTAAGGTAAATTACATCTGTTTGAAAGTGAAACCAGTTTTTTTTTTCATGCAGGCTCTGTCGATCATAGCCAGGGGAGGTGTGGCTAGGGCAGCATAAACAGAAACAAAGTGATTTAACTCCTAAATGACAGTGAATTGAGCAGTGAAATTGCAGGAGAATGATCTATACCCTAAAACTGCTTTATTTAGCTAAAGTAATTTAGGTGACTATAGTGTTCCTTTAATTTGACTCCTAAAGTGATCGCTTAGCCTGAGGCCAATCCATTAAACAGTGCATTGTTAGAATTAGTGTTAGTGTTATATAAGGTTAGGATCAGTTTGGTGAGTTAAGGTTATGGTTAAATAGGGTTAGCATGGGTTAGGGATGTTTAGGCTTTAGTTAAGGGTTGGAGTTAGATAGGTTTAGGGTTAGATGAGATAGGTTAGGTTTTATAGAGTTAGGAATTAAAGGACCGCTATAGTGCCAGGAAAACATACTCTGCCGGGCTGGATGGAGAGGAAGGGGTTAAACTTACCTCTTTTTCCAGCGCTGGGCGGGGAGCTCTCCTCCTCCTCTCCTCCCTCTTCTCCTCCTCTTCGGCTGAATGCGCATACGCGGCAGGAGCTGCTCCCGCATTCAGCCAGTCCATAGGAAATCATTCACAATGCTTTCCTATGGACGCTGGCGTCTTCTCACTGTGATTTTCACAGTAAGAAGCACGCAAACGCCTCTAGCGGCTGTCAAGAGACAGCCACTGGAGGCTGGATTAACCCCAATATAAACATAGCAGTTTCTCTGAAACTGCTATGTTTATAAAAAAAAAGTGTTAAACCTAGCTGGACCTGGCACCCAGACCACTTCATTAAGCTGAAGTGGTCTGGGTGCCTATAGTGGCCCTTTAATAAGGTCAGAAATAAGTTTGATACCGGTCAGTTTGGTAATACAGATAGTGTCTTCAACACACAGCTTAAAGAGCAAGTAAAGAGGCATGTCTACAATTTGATCCTAGAAATTCCCCCCAAATCTGGCAAATATACATGTGTGGTATTGCTGTACTTGAGAGATGCAGCAGAATACAAACATGGGATTTGTTAAGTAGCAGGGCACATATGCCAGTGAAAATTACCATCAACCCCTTAGTAACCAGACCGTTTTTCAATTTTCTTACCTTTAAAGACCAGGGCTGGTTTTATAACAAAACAAAGATACATGTTAGCACTCGAATGGTATGCAGTGCAGGTATCAAGGTTCCCCACCTCTAATGAACCTCAAAATATTACAGAAAGAAAAATAAATTGATACCGCACTCAAATTGTAAATGCTCAAAGAATTTTAATTTATCTCTTTCACCAGATAAAGGAAATCACTTTTATATAAGTGGTCTCTTCCACATCTCTCCACCCTATGCAGGGAAGTGCACTTAAAGGGACACTCCAGTGCCAAGAAAACAAATCTGCCCCCTCCCTCCCACCCCCCATCCCATGCTGCTGAAGGGGTTAAACCGCCTTCGCCCACGCTCCTCCTCCGCCGACTTCCGCCGGCAGGGGAAACCTAAGTGCATCACTGATTTGTCATCCCTGTCTCCAATTTCCAACAACTGCTGCCTTCCTTGACAGTTTGATAGGCAGTTTTACCTGCAATGTTTATTCCCTAATATCTGAATTGTATAAAAAACAGTAATATGGCTCAGAAAAAATGGCCACAATATTCATAGCTTGACTATTTTAGCTTTATTTTTGGGATTTCAGAGGTTTTTTTACAATCATATTTCAGTTTGCTTCAATTCCGAGTTTATGGAATAACTCTAATGGTTTATTGGTTAGTTTGAGCTTATAAATGAAAGTGACACTTGGGAATTATGATTGAAGTTTAATGTTTGCAGGAAGCTAACCTTGTGATCGACATGCTTTGTGAATGATTGGCAAACTTTAACAGTGTTAACCTGTTTCCATACTGAACAGCAATTTACCCTTTTCTAAATCCATTTAAGTGAAAGCATATTTTTTACATACCTATTCTCCTTAATTCTAGCTAAGCCTACATTGTTTGATGTCTACTTGCGTTGTCACGTCAGAATAGTATGATAAATCACCACGAGTATGTAAAAATATGATATTTTTAAACCAGACACCTTCCTAGCGAAATGACAGCTGTCTAAAAATTTCTGTTGTAATGAACCCAAAGCGAAAGAGCTGTGTCTGAAATATTTTGTGAATGCTAATAAAGCTGTGATATTGCGAGAGAAATCCTGGCATGCTCAAAGCCCCTCTGACTGACACTGTATAACAATAACCCACTTCTAGAACAACAGCTTACCAATGCAGTGACAGGGCTGTATTCAATGTGTCATTCTGCTTCTTAACTGTAGTACTGAGCCATTTCAGCTTGTCAGTCTCATGGGCAGCTCTTTCCGCACCAATATTGAACATCGAACGTGAACAAAAGCAAAAGAGAGATGCTATTCATCACTAGCACAAATTGTATAAATAGTGCAAAATTCTTTTTGCCTCATAGCTAGTTTCTATTCATTATACAACAAAACCAATATGGAGTGCAGTATTAATTTATAGTATTGCCATATAATACTGGTTATCTAACATTAATAAAGTATTGAATTTCTTTTTTTTGAAAAACAAAGTTGTGGCTACACAGACATGGCAAATTAATTATAAGACACAGTTTCAGGCATAATTACACGCCAATTGAGTCATATAAATACTCTTACCACTGTGGATTTTTAAACCGTAAATCAAAAGTTCTCTAAGGAATTAAAAACAATAGAGACAATCTGAAACATATGGTCAGGGAGTCTGCTTCGCTTCCCAAACAGATACATGTTGATAACAAAACTATCTGGGAGACACAGCTCATGTGTCCAAACAAAAATAAATCCCCATATTTAAGCAGTTGATTTAATTGTGGGTTATTTATAAATACTAGCTTGTGGTCTATACTTGCAGGGCAATCACTATGCAACTGGTAACCCTCTTTGTGTCATCCAATTCCCATCTCCGTACAACAAAATCCCATCTCCACACAGAAAGAAAAGTGAAATTATAAGATTTTACCAATCTATTGTTCCTGCAACATTTTGTAATAGTCTTATTGTATAATTCCCCCTTTGTAATATTGTAAATAAATTATTGATAAATAAATGCCAATAATAATAATAATAGTAATAATAATAATAATAATAAACTGATAGAGTAGTTTGAGGAATAAAACTGCAACAAAAGGTTCTCTTGACTATGTTATGTTACTATTTTTCCTAAACAGTTAGGATACACAAAGCAATTGCTCCTGGGTCAATTCTTCACTAGAGATGACATAATTCCCATAAAGCTCCTTTTTGCCTGCTTTTGTTTTAAGAATCGCCCCTTCCTCACCCCCATATGAAGCTGTATGTAAAATATATGGGTTTGTTACTAAATAGAGTATGCTTTTTTTTAGTTACTAACTAGCATTGAAATGATTGGGAAAGATACACACAGACATATGTTCCATTAAAATAAGTTCACTCCCATCACAAGAAGACCGCTCCAGTTCAGTTAGTCAGTATGGCTACAATTTAAATTTGAGAAATTTGATTAATCAGTGATTAATCCTGATTTCCTTTTCTTTTTTTTTTTTATATTTATTTTATTTATACACATTTTCCATTTTTTTAAACTTTAATGTTATCACAGTGAAATACATACATATCAATATAATACTGAATACATAATCACATTACTAATTGTATGCCTTCACATCCATATATCTACTCATTCCAAATATTTTTTTTTTTTTTTTTAAAGTATGAAACAAAATACCAAGTTCAAAATTTCTGAGATTCGGTGAGGGGCAGCCTTAACCTAGCTATTTACAATTATATAGGGAATTTGGAAGTCCAGAGTAACCATAAATACTTAATATTTCTAGTAAGGGGATTAAACATAGGATTAGATTCCATCTTATGTTGAAACTTTATTTGTTCCAAAACTTCTTGCCATAATGGTGGGTTTGGGTATTTCCATGCCCTAACTATATTAATTTTTATTGCAAAAAATATATGTGGCATAAGGTATCTTTGATATCTATCCTGCATTGTAAGTCCTATATTTAACAAAAACATTTGGGGACTAATTTCTTCAACATCCTTAAAAATATCCTTTACTAGAGCCAACATTTGAACCTTTATATTATTCAACCCCGAACATGCCCACCATATATGATAGATGGCGCCAACCTGCTTCCCACATCTCCAACATTCCTTTGGATGTGCTGATGATAATTTATGCAATCTAACCGGCACCAGATATCATCTGTAAATTATCTTCAGATGGGTTTCAAACAGGGAAACATTATGCATACATTGCTTTACCAGCATGGTAGC